AAAAGCTCCACGACCCAAGCTGGCACTTTTCCTTGGAAGAGACGGACAAGATAGTTGCACATGGACAAATGCTAGCCAAAGTATTTCCACTTCACTTTGCAACCCTTGTTTCTTACACTTACATTTGTCTTGCAGCAAGAGACCAAACAAGTCCCAGGCTGTACTTGCAGAAGTGTAGCTAGCTAGCCAAGGAAAGTGATTCTTCTTCCACTCCATCCAGCATTTGTCAGATCATGTATGCAGTACTGTGCCCAGGTTTGGGCTCCCCAACACAAGACAGACAGGGACCTCCTGTAGCAATTCCACTTGATGCCCTGGGAGCTCGACCACAAGAATGTACAAGCAGATGTACAAGTGTTGTACAAGAGGAGACTGAGACAAGCAGGTTGGTGCAGCCTTAAGAAAAGGAAGCAACTGGGGAAAGTCTTACTAGTGTCTTCAACTACCTATTTAGAAGACGCAGAGAAGGCAGAGCTATGCTTTCTCAGAGGTGTGATGTGACAAGAGGCAACGAACCCATGTAGCTGCATGGGAAATCCTTCTTAGAAAGCTGAGAAACAGGTTTCACCTCATGGGTGGTCAGAGTGGAACAAGGACCAGAGTCATGGAACCTCTCTCTCTGGAGACATTCAAACCTCAGCTGGACAAGGTCACAGCAATGTGATCTAGTTGGACCTGCTCTCAGCAGGAGGTTATAGCAGACACCTCCAAAGGTTTCTTCCAACCCAAGTTATTCTATATTTCTACACAGCTACAACTGGCCAATGTCAGAGAAAACAAACAGATTTGATCTTCCCTAATGCAGTGCTATGTGATCTGTTTATCCCAACGATAAACTATAGTTTGTAAGTCATAGTTTAAACCTCAGAAACAAAGATGGAACAACAAACCAGTTGGAATTTAATCCTTAGATGCAATAAACTTGAAGAAACAGTTTTTGATCCTCTATGGAAAGGTACAGACCTACTGCTAGATTAAATCCTGTCATCCAAGATACCTCAAACCTATGTACAGGATGTGTGCTAGCACACATCAAGAGTGATACCAAATCTCTCACTGGGAAACCCCCTCAGTAACACAGATGAAAAGCTCTAACAGTAATTTAACACTCCAGCAGTCAGTTAAAAGCGTTCCATACCACACTGTATGAAAGCTCAGGTCACCCTCACTTTCTTAGGTATCAGTCCCTAGCCTTCTCTGCTTCAAGTTTTATTTTACTGCTGGCATTTTGCTACTGAAAAAGGAGAAAAGAATGTGGAATTTAACTCAGAATGATAGTTCTAAGTCAGTACACAACACAGATGTCTAAAACATGCAAAACTAAGTTACTCTACCCAAAACCTGAAGCCAGACCGTGACATTGATTGCGGAAGTGCTGGAAAGGCTCGAGCGGTTGTTTAACTACTTCTTTCCTACTTCAACGCTTTAACATGAAAACACACTCCTGAACAAGCTGTGCTCAATAGTAACATGTCTAAAACACAGCATGAAAATTAAATACAGGGTGAACAAATTGACCTTTCTCAACATGCTCTGGAGCTCCATGTATCCCACAGGTATTTTCATCCTTGAGTCCTTGGGCAGAGCTTAATGCAAGGTGCTGCTCCTGTCACTGCATAAAAATGACTGGATATACTACAGGAACAGTGTTAGTGGTATGGGGGAGGGAGGAATGGGGAAAGAAAAAAAAGAGTTGGAAAGAATATATGAGCTAATCATGAACTTCAATTTTGTGCTCAGCACTGTGTTATCACTAAATCACATTAAATTGATCTCACTGTAAAAAGCTTCCTGTATCACAAGAGCCAAGGTCAAGACAAAACAATAACTAAGGAATTCCAGTGGAATAAACTCAAGAACAACCACATTCAGCTTTTGCAAACTGAGGCAAAAAATGTTGCTATAAACAGACTGCAATCAAAGTATAATTAGTCTTTGTCATTGCCTAAGATAAAAGAAAAACAAATCAATAGGGAAAGGTGAAAAGTGAATTCACATATGAAGAGCTTTGTTTTGAAGTTTTCCCAAGTCCAAGTTATAGCAGGTTAAATATTCAACACACCTTGACCTTTGTTACACAGACAGCAGAAGATGCAGTGAAGTTTCCTAATCCTCTCTCCCTATCATTCAAAATAATCTGAGTACTGCATATAACCACTTTCTTTCTAGCTGAAGACTTAATTCTACCATCAGATTAATCTTCATTACACTGCAGTGCTCCAAACTGGAAGCCTGGGGAATCAGGACTGATACGTAAGAAGAGCAGTGCTGTATTCCAGACTGAGCAGTGTGTTGAAAGAAACCACCTGAGATCTGAAACAGGATGTCTCCATCTCATGTGTTCCAGATGAGGACCACATTTCTCCACAGCTTTCAAGAGGATTGAACTGTTATTTGACATAGTAGCAGGCAACAATATAGACAATCCAAAAAAAAGAGAGAAATCATTTGCAAGTGGCATGGCTGCTTCCTACACTAGCAGGGGGATACAGCAGACTGATAAAGCAAAAACCCTCTCATAGGATGAACTGACAAGTTCCAGACACCTCAAGCAGAAAGGGTGAGCAGATCAAAGATACTTATCCTCAGCTCACGTTTTAGCCAGTCGGCATTGTGAGCCACAAAAGAAAGAATGAGAAAAGTTATTCTGTTCTAAATACTTAGGAGGCAGATCCACTTGAGGGTGGACTTTCAAGAGGTATCTATGAAGCAGCAGCTGATGTATTTCTATGGTGCTGAAGCAGCTTAAAGAAGTTCAGAGCCTAATTAGACTTTCCAAGACAAAAAGCGGCAGTAAAGAAAAATCCACAAAGCTTTGGTAGCTTCACATCCTGAACCATATTCTGCTGGTTGCTCAGCTCATGCTGACTCACCCAATGTGCTGGAAACCTGAAGACTCCTCTGCTTCCAAAAGCTCCCTACCCTCAGGGCTCTTTCAGAGGCGTGCCTGGATCTGAACCAGCACTCACCCAAAAGTAATGATTAATAACAGATAAACCATGCAGCACTCTCACTTGTGCATTCTTCCTTGAAGTCCATTTCATTGAATTCTGGCTTTGAAAAGGCTACAGAAAACAGAGCTAATCCATGCGCTTTTCCGCTATGCTGCACCTACCACTTCCTAGCAGGAAAAGTGACAGCCGGAGGCCAGCCTGCTTCAATTACTTTGTGGTCTGTAACAATCCTCCTTCTCCGAATCATTTCAAAGTACTAAAACCCAATCTAACAACTTGTCACTAAAGGCACACACCTAAATTATGAAATCTTAGCTGTAAGTAAATGAGCTGTCCTGAATGTTTTGTGTGCCTCTAACTGCAGAAAGTAACCACAAATCAGGAGACCAAGAACTTCTTTCCTTCTTGCAGAAATATTTCTTCCAAAACAACTGGCTTGAAGATAAAACATGGCTGGGTTTTATTCAAGCAGTGGGACTTGGCTATTGAATAGGATTTGGCAAAGAGAAAGGAAACCTAGAAGGGGAATAAGGGGAACAAGTGATGCCAGCTGTTACCTTGTGGATTTCCTCCCCCTCCCCAGATTCCAGCAGACATTGAACATTGTGCCTTACCCTCTAATCCCCATGGACATACTGACAGTATCATTTACTGCACATTTGGGAATTCTTTTTTGCAACATGTTTATGCAGTGGGCTTGCCTCTCTGCTCTGCAGTAGCATTGTCAGAGCGTACAAGACAGCAAAGTGACAATAAATCAGTACAGACAGGGGGATAACCTACCGAAGGCATATCCCATCCCTCTTAAGTCTCACTTGTCATTACCAAAGCCGTAATATTTTCTCAATTAAAAGACCTCTGCTGTGCTGCCAGAAGACATGTTAGCCAAAGGGATTGCAAAAAGGCATCAAACCAAAGTGGTTAGCTGGAGGCAAACCAACCATGCAGGGGTTGGTTTCTTTGCTAGTCACAAGGTGTCACATGTACCCGCTGTTCCACGTGGCTGAAGTGACTCAAATCTGCTCTGCTCCCAAGACATACTTGTATTACATGAAGAGCCTGAAATACAGTTTGAGTAAAAGCCTCCTCCTGCTGACCAACCCAAACGGTCCTCAAGGGAGGAGAGATGGGAGAGGGAGTCAGACAATGAAAGGAAACCTCCAAATTCCCTTTGGAAAACCTGCTCAAAACCACCAGTGACTTTAGTCACAAAGAAAATAAAAGGCCTCTTTTGCCTTGGTCTCTACACCCTTACAGAATTTGTATTAAACACTGTATGAACTCTGCTGCCTCTCAAGCCCAGCTCTCAACTTCCCTCTCAGAAGAATAAAACAGGAGCCTGGCCATCAGCCACAGCAGGTCAGTGACAGACTCTTACCCAGCCCTGGCCTCCTGACCATCATTCACATAGCTGAGGGCCACACTACCACCAGGAAGTGACTGCAGGCTGCTTTAGTGCAGAAGACCAACAAGTATTTTCTCAAGTTCACAGAGACAGTGGCAACGTGTTCATCTACAGCGCTATTCTAAACAAAACCTCGTGCTCCAGCACAGGATGTGATCAATCAAATGCACACAGAACCTTTTGGAGATACCCTTCCTTCTGTGATTCTCAGTCATCAAGATACTTTGGCTGTTGTCCAGAGCAAGTGATGAATAATTGTAAGAAATCATTGAAGGTACAAACCCCTTTGTTTTTAATATCTTTACAGGAACTAAATTAATACAGTTCCTCTGTCATCTTATTCTCCCTCAGAGGGAATGGAGAGAAATTGCATCTGGAAATCCAGGTGGCTGAGCCCTGTAACTCTTCCTCCTGAAACCCACATAAATAAACATATGTTCATATCCAGATCCTTTCTGTTTTCAAAACCAAAATCATTTGCCTTTTTCCTTTAAGCTTGGTACCATGTTTCTTTAATGTTGTTGTGAGATACTGCACCCATCTTTCAGCATTAGATTGCCTTAGGTGGCCTTTTTAAAATGGTCCTGTGGTTCAAAGCTCTGAGAAGCACAGTATTAAGGCATAGAAAATGAGGAGTTCTCTTTCCAGGGAGCAGACTGTATTTGTGTTACATTCCTTTAGATGCTGAACTGCAAATCCCATCCCCTTGGAGCCAAAAGGGGAAAAGACAGTTAAAAATATCCCAGCAGTCATACAATCAGTTGTCTGTATTTTTTTTTTTTTTTTAGCTTTTTTGAATCTTTAAAAACAAAACAACAAAAAAAGGAGGAAAAAATATCCCATAGTTAAAGACAGAACAGAGTTCCAGATATGGGTTCTTGGGAGAGGTTTTCCATTCTTTTTGGCACCTTGTGATTCTAACAGCTGTTGTCCTCCCATTGAATAAAAATCTGACTTGAAAGAGCTCTTTATCCACTATGTTTTGAGCTGTTACAGTTGTGGTTTGTTTTTTCAAAGAAGCTGCTTTAGGGCTCCTGCCATCCCATGCCCACCCTGTGTCGCTCCAGCTCCTCCCACCATTTCTTCATTCACTAGTTGCCTGTCCTTGTGGCACTGCAGATGTGATGACTCCAGTTTGGGCTGGGACTGTTCCACTGGATTCTTCTATCCGGGGTCTTTTAACTTCAGGTTCACTGGAGGAGGCTGCTGCTGTCTCTTCGGTCCCTGTCTCACATACTCTGCTGACTACAACAGGAGTGGACGAGCTGGCCTGGGCTGCAAGAAGCTGCAATGGATTTGTGAGAGCTGGGAAATAGAACAAGACAGAGAAAGAGAATTAGTGTGATGAAGTAGCACAAGTGTTTGCTATTCCAGAAAGCAAGAAAACAAAACACCATAGTCAGATGCAACAGCTGACACATATTCAAGTGTGGTTTTCAAGTCCATTTTGAAAGGCTTGCTAGCTTTGTCTCTCCATCTCCCCCTTCGATCTCAGCTTATCAAACTTGTGATCAGGAGAACTTGCTTCTTCCTATCCACTGTCAAACAAGGCTTGCCAGCTAAGCATTCATCTCCAGAAGGGGAGGATCAATGCCCTGTTAAATTACAGCACACCACCTCTTTCAGCACACCACCTCTTTGAGGGGCAGTTCTCTGGCCACCAACAATCATAACTTGCAAGCTACAACATCTGTGTGCTGTGCCTTCAATTTAGAGGGCTCTCTTTAGCCCTGCTTGCACACTAAGAACAGCTAGTCTGTTAGGAAACCAGATCAGAATCTAAATACTGAATATATTGATATCTCGCTTGTAAAAAGGGCAGGAAAGAGGTTACCCCATATTCCAAATGCATTCCCATCAGAACTGGGATCAGATGTAGGAATTTCTGGCTCTAATCTTGTATTCCAGTATTAACAAAAGATCTCACCCTCCCATTAACAAAAGCGGTGAGAAAAAAAGACCATTTAGTAGCAACCCCCCCCTAAAAATGTCTACAAGTCCTAGTTCCAGACAGAGAATGTGCTTACACACTGGCTTTGGCACACAACACTGCTTGAAAAACAAAACACATGCAGCTTTTGGCCTCTGCATCAATCAGAGAGGCAGCCAAAGGGGACTCAGGAGACAACACATCCTCTGCCCTCCAGACTGATTTGCAAAGGATGGAAGGACAGAACGTTAGGGGTGTGCTGACTAAGTGCAGCAAAAAAAGGAGCCCTAGGATAAATAAACAAAGCAAACAGAACAAAGGCCCTCAAAGCCCAGCAACTTCTCCCAAGGCATGGGAAGGAGGCTTGTAGAGTATCAGAGGATGAAGGAAAAAAAATAGGGTTAAGGATGAGGGCAGTCACCAATTACACTGCAGTGACTTGGAGAACCTAGACCATGCAGTTGAAGAGACATTAACTTCCTACAGACAACAGTCAAGAGACTCAGGCTCCATTTTGTGAACCAGCAAATTCACTACCACTTACAGAAAACCCCTCAGATGCAAATAGAACGCTTTCCAGTTTGATGCTAGTGCTGGAAAATTTTTTGTTAGATTAGAATGTCTCAACATAAAAATGTTAAATACAAAACTGTCTGATTCTGCATTAGACAAACATTACTGCTGGGTAGCAGCAACTCCACGTATCTTTTTAATATCTTTATATCCTAGTTGCATAAAACCTAATTGGTACCTTCACTGCTCCAGTTAGATTCTTGCAACTCAAGTGCAAGCCAGGTGATACTGCAAATAGACATGGCAGAATATTCTGTAGAAACATTCCTACCTTCATGGGAGACATCAAAATCCCACCAGCGCCCTTTCATTTCAAACTCCCCATAAGCACCAGACTGGGCCAGCAGAGGTGCTTAGTATCTCACTGAAACAGGCTGTAAGAAACCCAGATATTACCATCCCCAGTCATCCTTAACTGAACAAAACCTGAGACACTGAGCAACTAATAAAAGGAGGCTGCCAAGACATAGCTAGGATGGGATTTTAAAAATCAGACTTGACAAATGGCTAGAACGCATCCTGTATATAAAAAAATCCTACATTCATTCACCTGATGAAATAGATCTAGGCTCTAAGACCTTAAGATGGGAAAGTATGTTATCGTCTTAATACTCTACGGAGTCATTTCACAAGATCTAAAGAGCACCATGGAAATTTTATTACATGGCATGCTTAAAGCAAAGGCTGTTGGTCAGAAGAAAACAAATGAAAACGGGTTATATACAAGAATCACTAACACTTTCAACAAGCAACCCTCAAAATGTAGAGCGTAAGTAGTAATAAATGTAGAGCCAAGGACAAAAGAAAGACAGGACTTTTCAGAAGCAGTGCTAGATAGCAACTGGAGAAAGGGAGCAGAGGTGAACAGAAGGGTGTCTACCATTGACATTCACAGCCACAGAAGTTGAAGAATTGGAATACCTTTAGAAGTGAAAACACAGAACAACTTCATATATGCTAAGAAGAGAAACCGTTACAGCTTTACAACCTAACTGCTAAGCTCAGGAAGAAATCAAACTCCAGAAAGTGATGGAAACAGAGCCTACCATAAGCACTGCCAGTGATGCTGTTGGTGGGGACGGCATGTTTCCCATTCTGAGTGACTGCCCGCACAGGGAGCTGATGCTGTCCAATGGTCACTGGAGCTGCCTGCTGAAGGATTGCGACTGTCTGTCCTGGAACACCCTGTGCCATCTGACTGGCAACTGTCTGAATAACACGGCTGGCTGTAGGTATCGTGGCAAATGCAATCGTTGGCTTTTCATCCACGCCTGCTTGAGAGTAAAACAGACAACCATCATTTACTACCCTGGCTTAGGAGCAAGCTTTATTCTCATGAACATTTTAGCAGTGACACATACCCCAGGCTTACAGATGTGAAAATACTTCAGCACCACAGAAGGTCAGGGAAAACACTAATATTCTCTATTGTATATATACTCTATAAATATTAAGAACATTTTTCTTACAGCATAAGCCACTTGGCCAAACAAAGTAAAATCAAGATGATAAACTTGACCCTTTGTCCTAAAAAGGCATCATCTCTCTTACTGGCACATTATAGCTCTGATCACTGCAAATGGTAGCTTACTTTGTAATTACAGGCAAATTGGCCTGACTCTCATTACCACACAGCAGGAGATGGCATTAAGTCCTTAAACAATGCCTGGAGCTAGAAGTCTGCAACAGCTTGCTGTCAGGCCTGCACATAGGTTGATTTACAAGGAGGTCTTCCTGTAATTGCAAGCTTTTGCCAGCTATGGAAGTATAGGAAGAAAACAGAAGGGAGGAAAAAATAGTAAGAAAAAGGAGGGATGAGTTCCTGGATAGAGATAACTGTTTGAGAGCACTCAACCACTTATCTCGCTTCCCAGGACAAGTAAGGGGTCAGTTCCCCAGGTACATAACAGATAGATTACAGCCTCCTGCTGGGCATGCAGGAAAGGAAAGCCACTCTTCTTCAAGGCTCCATGAGTCTCAAAGCAGAGAAGGCAGGAAGCACAAACTTGTTAGTCCTGCAGGAAGAGAAGACTTCTCCCATTTTAATATTAGTAGACTTGTAAGAAAAGCGGAGTTAGATGGCACATAAGCATTGAGCTGAGACCTGCAGGCAAGCTGATGGGAAGCAGGGAAAGAAAAGGCAAGGAAAGCAGTGAGATGAGGAAGGAAAATGGAGCAACCAGCAAAGACAAAGGGACGGTACACACTAGAAAAGGATATGAGCAAGTATAAGAAAGGTGAAAGAGCAAATGACAGCAAGAATTAGTGAATGAAAGAATGGAGCAGGTGACAGGCAGCTGCAACTGCTAGCACTTCAGGAACATGTATGAGTTCCAAACAGGAATTTCTAGAGAATGCAAGTGAAACTCAAGCATGATGAACTAAAAATGTCAGTGGTTCTGCTACTGCAGAAGGGGAAGGTCTCTGCCAGTTTTTTCTTTCCCTTCAAGAAGAATCATTGCCCCACTGCCAACATAAAAGCTATCAGAGTAACCAGCCTTGCTGCTGGTACAACACACATCTATCTTGTAGCACCAAGCCCTTGTGAAATGGTGAGCAGACAAGATGTTGTCTACATCACAGCAGGAGAACATTTAGCTCACTAAAACCCCCCAAGGCTGGAATTTCCATCTTAGGCAAAAAAGAGGCCTTTGTTGTAACTGGTTTTTGAAGACTGCTTTAATTGGGTACTGCCTGCGCTTCCAGAAGCAAATGCTTTCCTCTAGGAATCCAGGCCTGCAGAAAAGAAAGGCTTAATCATTTATTTACAAGTCCATCTGAGGCAGAGAGTTTCAGCCTTTCCTAGGCCATCTTTTTTTTGGCGAGACAAAGCACACATTTCCATAGCACATCCAGCTGACCAATACACAGGCATAATATTGATACTGGGGATAATGTAAACATTTAAAGCACTGCGTGTTTTTTCAGCCTCCAAAGTCTGTTAGATTTATTGCCCACAGGAGACAAGGGAGCACAGTCATCCTGCTCACTAGTGAAGACATCAAATGGACAAGCTATTACTTGGTATTACCTGGGAAACATCTTTCATTAAAGGGCTTAAGTACCTACTAAGTGAAAACAGTGTTTGACAACCCCTCCCACAAGCCTGCTCAAGACTTAGCAGAGTAGTAAAGGAGGTGAAAAGTTACCTCGGTGGTCACTGGCTAAGTCCAACACTGCTCCTGCAGCTTCATGAGCTCCTCCTGCGGTGCCCTGATTCGTGAGGATGTATCCATTTGCAGAGTTTGCAGAGGAGGTCACAACTCGGACCATTGTAACAGTGGGAGCTTGCTGCACGACGTGAATTGCGTGACATGAGGGCTGTTGAGAAGTCACTATTGACGCTGGCATGTACGCGACTGGCTTTGCCACCAGAGTAGATGGTCGGGGAGGAACAGCCATAATAACTGGCTGGGCACTGACTGGAGATCCTAAACAGATGAGAGAAGCATACATTAGTAGGAGAGGGGAAAAAGGCCTCTATTCACTTCACCTGTGCACTTCTAACCTGCAATACTCAGTCCTTCAGCACTGGCAGGAGTAGGGAACAAAAAATAAAGCTTCAAAAATACCACTTTCAATCTTCTCTTTCCTAACTTCCAAAAACCTTACTTGCCATGTGAGCATTTCTGTGAACAACAGCCACATAGACACACACAAAAAAGAAGCTTTACTTAATGATCTTTGCCTTCCAACTTCACCAGCAACACCCTATACATCAGGCCAGTCACAGCACAGCTGACAGGCAGATACTTACCAGGGCTTAACAAATTACCTTGGCCGCAGCACCAGAGAGCTCTGTGTAGCCAAGGTGATCTTATCCAGAAGGCTGGTAAATTAGTGTGAGTGAGCCACACGCTGCCATGGCTACTGTGCTGTCAGTTCTCTAGAGCCACCTAGTTCGAGGTTAGCTCATGTGTTTCTACACATTCCTTTATCTCTTGCCCCCTCATCCAAAGACTAGTAAGAAAAATGCTCTAAAGTTGCATGCGCACCAGTCTCTAACAACAAAATGGAAAGAGAGACCTAGATCCTCCTGTAACACACTGTAAGAAGTATTCCAGTGGTGTCCTCAGCATGGCCCTTGCTGCAGTTGAACAGTCACCCTCTGTGAAACAAGAGCTACTCACCAGGTGCACTCTGTGAATACCGATACTCTGGAACTGAGGCTAACTTAGACCCAAAGTCATGGTCATGTGGAATGGGTGAGCCCTCCCGTGACAGGCACTCTGGAGTCTGTAGGCCACTAGAGTGAGGGGACAGCAGGCCAGGATGAGTAGGGGAGGCAGGAGCACTCCTGAAACACCAAAACGTAGTGTTGGCAAGTGTACATGCATTGTGACCAGAATACAGCAGCATAGACCAAGAGCTATCTCCAGGACAGGATTCTCCAGCAGAAAGACAGCCTTTCTCCCACACTATCCACAATATAATCTTGTTGAGAAGAGTTGAAATGTACACAGTAATGCTCTAGCACTAAATACTATCACACTATTCCTTGCTGAAGGAAACTGGACCCTTCAGAGTATGCTTAAAATTTCATTTGAACACCCACTGCTGACAGAGAAGCTGTAAATGCTTCATGTTCAGAACAGGTTTATTGTTTTAGGCTGTTCTAAGAAGATCTTTGTCAGTATTTGAGAGTGATGGGGAGAGGAAGAAAGATGCAACATAGATGCAAGTATCTTGCCCCACATATGCTTAAAGAGCAGTTGCTCCCCTTACACCCCACTGCCTCCCACCTCCGGTCCCACAGAGGCACCAAACACACAAGGAATTGAACATTTCTTCCAAGACAAAAAAGCAGCTGATCAGCTGAAAACCTCTCCTCCTGCTTCCTCCCCCTCATTTTAACAGACAAAAAAAGGTGTGGGAGGAACGTTACATGAAATTGCTCCAGCTAGTGCTGAATTCTAAGTCTCATCCTCACAGCTACAGGGTTCAGAGAAAGCTCTCACTGCACACAGCTCCTCTTTTGCAGTTACACTGCAGCGGCTACACAGAACCCCCATTGCTTCGCTGCTGACAACCACGATCAACATGGTCTTCCCTATAGGAGAGTGCTTTAAATACCACAAAAGTTACTGCTATGATCTAATCCACATCTAAACACAGCTTTCCTGAAGTGAGAGACTGGCATCTGAAAACACTCCAGTGATAACTGCCTTGAATTTCTTTGAAATGATGCCAAAACAGATATGTTATGTGATGCACTTTTGTAGTTTGGTTCTGCATTTAATTTTATCTTCTTTTTTGGTAAGCACTTAAGAAGTCAGAACAATTTTCAGATTATGCCTCAGGACAATCTAACTGTATTAGCTCTCAAAACTATACACAGAAGTAAAGTTTGCTCACAGTACTTTGGGTTTTGTTTGTTTTCTTTGTAATGAGTTTGGCACAGAGATTAGAGGAAATTGAAGTTACCTGGAGGAGAGAGGCCCAAAAGGCGTTCGGAAGCAGGACACTCCTCTTTGCCTTCGTTTTCTAAATGCTTGCTCTACTAGTTTGGCTTCGGAGGCAGGGTCAATTCGCCAAAAGGAGCCTTTTCCAGGCTCCTCCTGGGAGCGTGGGACTTTAATAAAGTAACGGTTCAAGGAGAGGTTGTGCCGAATGGAATTCTGAAGGAAGCAGAGGAATGAGATGATTATTTTGCCAAGAGGATGTATATAACAAAGACGAATGGGTTTCGCCACACAGCCTGGAAAAGTAAAATCCACACTGCCAGCATCAATGTCAAAGATGGATACAAATCACTCGACTCACACAGCTCCAAAGTCACAGAAGTGCTGCAAGAGAAAACCTGGGGAAACATGTCGGAGTTTCTACTAACCGTGCTGAAAGATGGGTTTGCTTGGTACTAACACTACCACTTAAATACATCTGGAGCCAGGCAGTGCAGTGACTTTCTGTGGAAAGCAATGAAAGCAAAGCTTTTGCTGAGGCACGGGGAAGTCACTATAAACCACATCAGAACTCTCTCAAAAGACAGGCTTTGTTTTAGACAAGCATGAAAAAAAATTGCCTGAGCCTGTGCTAACTGTTTACCTGCCAAACCATCACCAGGGTGCCCAAACATGCCCTAAAGAATACTGCATCTCACAATAATCATAATGCAAGCCAGCCAACATGCCCTAAGACAGCTGTCTCTTGAGAAGAATCCATCATCTATGTGGCACTAGTCTGGCACTGTGCAGCTCTCCAGATGTTGACAAGACTATTTATGCTTTTAATTGCAAAAGCCCACCTCTTACTGGGTGTATTACTGTCTTCTGGGCTTGGGGAAAGGCTCAATGAGCCCAGGTGTGCACAAGCTCATTTCTGATCCACTTTCAACACAAAACAAGAGCTTTTGTAGCAGCTTTAAACTACCTCTTCACAAATGAAAACTCACACCACCAGTGGTAGTGGAAAGGAAAAGGCAACTCATCCTCCACTGAAATGCAGCTTTCTTTGAAGCAGGATGCAGCAACTGGTTCACAAAGCACAACTCTGCCGAGCAGGTTAAGGCAGGAAGTGAATTCCACAATTAATTAGAACTGCAGGGAAAAGGCAGGGAGGCAGAAATGTATTTATTCCAACTGTTCTCAAAGTGCACCAAGCAGTACTGCTCCTGCCAGCTGAACACAATGAAATCACCAGCTGCAAGAGTCTTTCCAGCTGCATTAGTGTGTTATATTCAAATCACAACACCTATTTGAGAAGTGTGATGCCAAGAAAAAGTCTGAAAGCAGGTGGAGCTGAGGTTTCTAGAACTTTGAAAGCAGCCCTCAAATGAACACTTAAGCTTGATTTAGCATGTGTTAACTACATCCAAACTCTCCTATGAAGCTGGTCAGACTTCCTTTAATACCACAAGGAACACACAGACTCACAGTTCCCCCAGTCCTCATTCTGAGAATCAAAACTTGCCAACTGTGACTTAGGCAATGCAGTTGATACACTAAGAAAACAAAACATCTGGGATGATTTAAGGTATTGTGGTTAAGAACTCGGTTGGCCATCTTTTGCCTAGACAGATCATGCCAAACAAAGACCAGGTAAAGGATTAAGCAAGATTCAGGCAAGTATCTGGGCAAAGGAGTAACTGATAGCAAGGATGTAGGAGAATAAACATACAAAAATGAAAGATGCATGACTACAGCACTAAAAGGGATTCAAGAACCCAAGAGCCCAACAGTAACACACTGCATTGCCCTAGAAAGTATTTAAAAATACTAATAACCCACAAACAAACTAGTCAGCTTATGTTAAACAAATTCACTCTGGGAACAGTCAAAGCAGCTCTATTCCCAGTGCCCCAAACCCTTAATAAATGTATTTCAAAGCAGATAAGCCCTGTCAAAGTAGTTTAAAAGCTTGACAGTGTCAAGAACTCACCTGCCAGCCTTTGTCAGCAGTCCTGTAATATGGATAATGCTTGGTAATGTGGGCATAGATCCCACTTAGTGTTAATTGCCTGTCCTGTGCTGAAGATATAGCTTGCACAATTAGCTGAGCGTAAGAATAGGGTGGCTTGGACTCATCCTAAGGAGAAAACCAAACATACATTTAGTCACTAATCAAGAATTCCTACACTAGAATGTACCAACAACAGGAACTAAAAAAGCACATCCAGCTGTAATTTTCACAGATGCCAAGACAGCATCAGGGGCAACTAAGATCAGCATCACCCTCTTCCCTCTCACTCCTGCTTTATACTGCCAAACCCCAATTTAGCACTGAGCCAGACTAAAGTCTCTCCTTCTGTCTCCCCACAAGCACACACAAAAAACTCAGCTTTAATCTGATTCCATTCCTCACTGAATCTACCAACGATCTTACAGCAGCACAAGGAAGAGGATCAGGACAAGCAACTGAAAGCAGAGTTAGAGGGTGTAGGATATGCTTACAGCTTTCAGTGTTCATGAAACTAAAGCTTTCAATTCTGCCCAGCTACAACTACACTCTGCTAGGAAGGTCTCATGCAAGTCTGCTATCAGCTCTCCTCCCAGCAACAAGCTGAGTGTGAAACCTGATCCTGCCCCTTCCTCTCTCCAGCAGGATTTGTTTCATTCTAGGAACTGTGATTTGTTTGCCAGATCTCATATTCCCAGCTCTTCATATTACTCCATCAAGAACAGCCCTTCTTGTCTCAAGGGAGAATTCAATCTACAAAAAAAGCCATCTAATATTGTGCTTCTCCACCCAGTCCCAAATCAGGTGGTTTTGGATCTAAACCTTTAACTTTGATCTGAAGATCACCTTACCAAAATTAAATTTTATCATTATAACTAAGTTATTTTTTTAATCTAAATTCTATTTCCTACTCTCCTCATTTAATGCTTGCTTGACAGGCCTGCACGTTTGTTTTAAAGTCAGACTACAGATTTCTCATGGCAAGGATCCGGTTTCTTCCTCTGCTCCTCCTTTCTCCAACTGTGTTTTGCAAAATACTATTAATTAAAAGGCAAAACCAAGAATCTGGATTTTAATGCACTTCTTTATGGGTTCTTGATTTATCAAACAGGCAAAAGAAATTCTTGTTGCTTAACCATTTTAATGAATGACTGGCACGTATTTTAGACAGCTAAGGAAACAGATTGATCCTCTGCCACTAATAAGACACTGGTTTGAAGGCATGGTCTCAAAAACCTGAAGGATACTGTATACAGCACCCTTAGACCCCCTTTAACTATATCCAACACTAGCAACAAATGCCAGATCTTAATAAGCCTCCCAGTGAGCACTGCTGGGTAAGTAATGTTGCTTTGAACCTTTGGGCTGTCCCCGCCAGATGCATCTGCCTGCTGTTCTGATGCTGCTTTTGCAGCATACTCTGCTGCCAGCTGCAGATCCGAGGTAATGTTGTGAACAAAACGATATCCTGAGGATCCAGCACCACGAGGACTGGCCGGGCAGGAGTTGGGAACACTGGAGAAGCAAGAAGAAAATAGAGCTATTTGTTACTTCATTTATTAACAAGACACATAGTTCTTATTCTAAGGTACAGTAAAGCTCCCAGGTCATTGAGAAGTAGATATGTACTGAACTTATTTTTATCCCTGTGGCTTAACCAAAGCCCAGACAGATTGAGAAAATAAAGTCAGAGATAAAACTGGAATTCCTACAAAGTCCGGACACCCCTCCCACCACACACTTTCTGCAGTCACAAGACAGCAGAGTCCCAAAGTATTAAACAATTCCTCTGTGTTTAGAGAAGCACTTCAAACTATGTGGAACTTAAACCAACATACAGTGCATCAGGGACGAGTACATAAACTAAACAAATAGCTTGCTGTTATAACCTGTGAATGAACAACACACCACTCCTTATAACACAGGTAGTATTTAGTCAATCCTTGTAACAGACATGGGCTAAGTTCTTTCGCAGTATTGCAGTTGAAGCACCCAGTGTCATGAAGGTCCCTGTCTAACACACCACCTGAGCTTCAGAAGATCACACCCTGATCAGTGCCACACAGCTAGAGACAGGTACTTCCTTAGTGCACCAGCACACAAATGGAGCTGGAAGAAGGGAGAAGCAAACGCTCCCAATAGCATACAACACAGAGGGCAGCTCACTCACCAGCTCTGGCTGCCGTTGGGAAGACATTCAGAGCGGCAGGGCCACCACAAGATGGCATTACAGGAACAACAACCGAGCAGCAAAGCCCTGCTACAGCTCGTAAAAAGCTACAAACAAATGAAAGGTGCCTATAATTTGCAGCACCACTCAGGCACACAGAAGTGAGCGCTACAAGATGAGAACTAATCAGGAGGGCTTGTCTAGGGATCACACATCCTTGATTTGCTGGCTTGAAAGGATGGGAGGATAGGAATGAGTCTGGGAATCTGATGTTCCCTTTTTCTGTCCTGTGCTGTCCAGCACTGAGGGGTGGAACACCAGAGCAGCGTAACGCATAGCCAAATTCCAAGATTACATGTCACCTACATAAGAGCAGAGAAATAGGGAACAAGAAAGCAAAACAATACACAGAAGATTTACATAGCAAAACAAGCGGTTCAAATGGTATGAAAAGATGCAAATTGAAGCCCACAGATGGGAACTAGGATTCAGTAGAAGTGGCATAAACAATCCTCTTATCAGTCCAACACCCAACAGCAGTGCTAACCCTGACACAAATCAATGCAGTAACTGACACTCATTAGAGGACTACCGAACGCTGTATGAAAAAGCAGAACATGATCTCTTCCTCCAAAAGGTGACTGTCTAAATAACTTTCCCCTCATGCACATAGAGAGGAAACTGTGAGACAGCCCTTATTTGCTCACTGGGCAATACCTTCAGCACATAAGCAACCTGACAGCGTAAGGAATGACCATTTCCTACCACAGTCCAGCCTGTAAACAGAGAAATACTGCTTCTCCTTGTGGTGTCTTTGCAAATGGCTGCAGTGCTGAGCTCAGCACAACCCGGACTGATTTCTTTTCAAAGTGAGTTACAGGATGGGGGGGGCCAGAGGGGGAAGAAAAGGCAGCAGAAATATCCAGCCACAACAAACCCTTGCAACAGGAAACTCATTTTCCTTATATTAGAGCCACACAAAGTGTGGCACAGCACCCAGTAGCCCTTTCAGCAATAGTCTTTGGCATGAACGGGTGATGCAGAAGCACAGCACGAGGTGCACAACATATAATGTCGATGGCCCATATGTATAAATCTCTCTTTGCCAGAGATAAAGGCATTTCAAGATGCCTTTCAAAAAAATCAGAAACCTGTTTGTGCAGAAAAATGAATCAAAGTTTGCTATTCCATGCTCAGAGCCTGCTTTGGAAGTGGCTAAACCACAGAAGACACTCTTGATGTCTTAGTATTCACATGGGAGCTAGTGTGAATTTAATTATTCCGCTGTAATTTTCAATAGCTTCTCTACATACACGCTTCTTATAATGTGTACATAATTAGAAATGAAAGCCATTTTCATACATGAAACAATGACAAACCAACAACACAGCCATTCTTTTCATCTTTGTGTTTGGCACCCAAGCAATTACTGTAACATGCAGACTAGGAATGGAATCGGATGAAACAGAGTTGTCCCATTTTCTTCTTCGTCTGCAGAAATACATGAACAAACCCCAGAGACAGCAGCCAAAACCCAGCTCAAAGATACGGAAGAGAAACTCTTCCGTAAATCCATGCTCTGCAAAGAGCTGTGTTTCTTTAAGTTTTTAATAAACTAGCATGGCTTCAAAGATTATCCCATGCAGTTCAGATACAAGATTTGTTTCTTCAAGATCAGCAGAGCAAGTAGTTCAGTTCTTACTGTTCAAATCTTAGCTTCTGAGTCTGATAATGAGTTTTAAGTATGATCTATGATCTCTTGCCCTATTTTTTAATTAGAAAAACCAATGGGAAAAAACCCTCACCCTGCAGGGCTGTGATTCTCCCGAGTGCTGACAAAGCCCCTCCAACCTGAAGTGCTGTTAACTTTAAGCCTCTCCCAGTAGATAGCCACTGAAGAACATGACAGTGGCCCAAAGAAGCAGCTATCCCTTGGGACACGCACAGCAGTATCTGAAGATTTGGAAGAGGTATTATTCTTCTACCAGAATGAAGCACTTTTGTCCAGGTAGACCTGCTTTCTTTCAGCCTGGATCAATGATCAAATCAAGAGACATGGGCACAGAACAAACACCACCAACAGGGTAACACATGCTGTTAAGTGTTCAAGCTCTCAGTCAATCATCAGAGCTGCTCTTTAGAAGGAAGGGAAAAAGAGCTGAACACCGGACAAAAACAAGGAGACACAATCTGTTCTGTTCCCCCATCCCCACAACAGAGGACAGGAGTGAAGAAACAGTTTTACTAAAAATACCCCTCTGAGGGTTAAGTTAAAATTAAACATTAGTGCAGTCAAAAGAAAACAAGCAAACACAATGCAGTGACATCAGTTTCCTGGAGTTCCTGGAATTCTCCTCGCCACCCAGATCTGGGGGCTGGCTGGGGATGCTTGCATGCACTCACACCCCCTTGAAAAATACTATGGAACAAAAAGACTTTTCCCTGAAAACACCTGTTTGTTCTATAAACCAAAAATCAAGTGTGGGGACAGTGATTACAATTTGTTGGACATTAATAGTGCATCAATAGTTGGCAATAACTTGATCTATTTTGATACTATAACCTAAAAGCATAGCTAGGTCCGCAATTTCCCCCAGCTCTCAGACATCCTAACTTATACTGTGATCCATGCTTACTATCCACGCAGGCAATCTTAGCTTACGAGCAATCCAAGCTAATTTGGGTTAAGATCATCAGAGCATTTTGGAGAGGAAGCAAGTGTTTTATACCACTGAAATACACTCGGAGCATGTAAGCAAACCTGCTGCAGTTACCTCCAGTCTTAATCGGGTGGCACCATGGTTAAGGCCTCAATTTCCAGAGATCTTTGATACCCACTGAGGATTCAGCATCTCAACTTGAAGCACTGACTGCAGGCAGCCATTGAGCCACAGTTCCCCAAATACCACGCTGAGATTCAGCTTTAGAAGCTGACTACAATCATGTGCTGAATCACATCGGTCCTTTGCAGCATGTTTTCCATTTAATCCTTAACTCTTCTTCAGCTGGAAGGCCAAAAAGAGGAGGGCTGAGTGCAGCGTCTGCAATACGTTCACCCATACAACGGGCAGAATGCCTTTTAAACTCAGGGTTTAACTTCTGGCTAGTGAGAACATAACAGGTCTTTGTAGCATCACGATTCACTTTCAAGTCCTGCCAACAAGAATCCAGCCTCTTAAGTTCACAGCACTTGCTAGCAACAACAATTAAAATCTTTAAATGCCAGCTGCTGGAGAATAGGTACAATTTACTGCATTGATTTTGGACCTTCCAGCAGTCTGCTTTAACTAAAGAACCAAAAATGGGATGAACTGCTGTGTGCATGGTGTGTCCACACCGAAGACACTGTGTTGCTTGTGTCTTCTCGTTTCAATAAAAAAGAATACAGCAGATCCAGAGAAGGTACTCATGGGGATCACTAGGATCAGAGATACAGAACAGATTCCATACAGGAAACAGTTATAAGACACAAACTGAGGCACAAGGTGGCAGAGCCTATAAAAACAAAGCCAAGAGATGCGTTCAGCTCCTGACCTCTTCTGATAGAAGAGATGATGAACACAAAATTAAGCTAAACTGCATGTCCAAAACAAGAGAAAGTGTTTCTGTGTACACCATGTGGAACAACATGCTGTAAAACAGGGCTAATGCTAAAAGGCTATGCGAATACAGAAGGCTATTATACAAGTTCTTGGGGAAAGAAGGAAGACAAGGAATCCATCAGGGGCTTTATTAAACAGATGGTCAGGAAGTCCCTGCTCTGAGGCAGTCCTTGATCCAAGAAAATAGTGGAGGCAGACTGCACATAAGTTAGCATTACTCTGTCTTTTCTGTGTTCTTACACTACTCCAAATACACTTGTCTGAGGCAGAATACTGCGCTAGAGGGATCTGTTGCCTGAGCACATAGAGAGACTGACATATGAAGATCTCCAGACACTCTCAATACAAGCTACATTTTACAGACTGGGGGGAAAACCAACATAACATAATGAAGCAACAAGTGGTTAAATGACTTATTTATGTTCATATTACAAGTCTATGAACACGATGGGAACAAAAACACTCCCAAACTCCAGTGCCAATTTCCCCAGAAGGAGAGGCATTATAAGAATGCAGGAAAGTTGCTCTATTACTTAATTTCATTCTTTTCCATAAGAAAGATATCTGTAGGGATCAAGCTAGAAAGACGTAGTTTATGGATAGTATTTAAGCCAGGTATATGGATAAAGCACTTACCCTCCTTATGACAAAGAGGAAAGATAACCTGGGATCCCAGATAAAATTGGTCCCCTGATGTGGAATCTGCATTACTGAAGAGGAAAAATCCATCTTTTCAACTTTGT